CCGTTATTATATCTGCCATATGTCTATTGACCAAGAATAATTTTTCCTTCCCGCGGTAAAGTTGATTAAACACGTAAGCCGCAAGTGTTTTTGGCACGGCGCGCTACGCGCGCCCCACCCCCACCGCTCCCTCCCCCTTCCCACCCCTCCTCTTCTCCCTGCCCCCACCTCCACCCCCGTCCCACCTGCTTCCTCTCTTATACACGCATAAAAATTATACACAAAACGGAGGGGCTGGGGAGGGGGTGGAGAGGGGAGGGAGGAGAGGGTGTAAGGAGGGGTGGGGTTGGAAGGGGGTGGGAGGGGGAGGGGCGGGAGGGGGTGGGGCGCGCGCAGCGCGCCGTGCTAAAGACACTTGCAACTGGTTCGTTAAAAAGATATAAGATTTAGACTCCATCATTTTTCTCGAAAACTATTACTCAAAGACACTTATACATTCTTTGAATTGATGTATATGGTGTCAGAAACTTTCCACGTGAGGCCATCCTAAACGTACATGATATCGTGAACTACATAGCATTTGCGAAACTTCTTTTCTCCATATTATAACTTTTTAACGAACAACGAGCGACGGCTAAAACCTTCTGAAGGTCACTCAGTAAGGTGACCTTGACAACATATGCCAAGGTCAAGGTCATTGGGGCTGGGTCCGTGTTTGTAAAGTTTTACCCTTAGATTGCCGAAGTGGCAAGTAGTTTCATCATTCTAAATATTGTCAAAGTTGCTGCCGTATTCGCAACTGCCAGCTTCATCATTAACAATTACAATATTCAAGTTCTTTGGATCACTACCTATTGCGAATAGCAATATACTGGATTCGACTATTGGCAAAAATCGCAATAATTAGCTGTCTGTAAGAATTATTATTATGAAATTTCCAGTTGATAAAAGCTCAAGATGTTGAAATATAACCTCTAGCTCGTATATGATAATTCAGTACTGTACAAGTATATTGAAGGAAACATTCGAAAAGGCAACATTCGAAATGGAAACAATTGCAATTTTATTTTGTTGACAAAACCATCCCTTTTGCATTATTGATAAGTTATGATAAATACTTACGAGTAATCACGAATAAATCGGATGCTGTTCTTCACAAATAGAGCTTTGAATCTTCTTAATCGTGAAACTTGTCTTTTCGAAACCGGTTTTCCTTAATAATTTGAATAATTCTTCTTAATCGTGAAACTTGTCTTTTCAAAACCGTTTTGTTTTCCTTAATAATTTGACTTATTATATACTACTTATATAATGTCTAAAAATGATATAGATTTGCAAAACCTTTTATAACAATAAAATTTGTATATACTTTTAGTTGCATGTTCATATTTGTCTTGATCGTGATTGAAGGCATCGCTACTAGCGTCTTCCATATTGGATCCCTGAGCTTCAGTTAAAGTGACTGCATTATTCTGTGCCTCGCACAATTTCAGGAAAATTTCCTCGTATGACGAACATTGAAATTGCTCCAGTAATTTCTGCGGCGCCGATTCAGCTAACAATTTACCATGTCTCATCAAACCGACCTGCGTATCATCCACAATATACAATATTAAGCACGATCAAATTTGTGACATGTACAATTAGGAAGAACACATTGTTTTCAAAAGTAAGGAATAGTTTTTGCTTCAGAACCAAAATCTAGCTTACATAGGAAGTTTACCAACTTTTTTATATAATTG